TTGTGCCGCTGTGCTTGAACATTGAAGAACGCCTCCCACACCGACAACACTGTTGCGGGCGGAGCTGCTCGTTGCTATCACCATGTCTCCCTTTGCTGACGAGCCCTCATCGACCTGGCTGTCTGTCACCGTCGTGACCTTCTTTCTCCATGGTTCTATCGTGAAGGGCAAAATTGACTCCAACTGATCCGCCGGCACAGCCGCCAGCCTTCGTGTGACCTGGTATAGTGGCGATCGATGTTTGGCGTAGAATTTCTTCATACGTGACGTTATCCTACGCAACGGATTGGTATCCGGCAACGTGTGCATCACAAGCCACATTTTTATCATCCTCTTCCGGTGTCGCTCTCCAGCGCTCACCAGATTGGCTTCCGCCTCTGCCACTGCAGTCGCGACAGTGAGAAAAGTCCCGACAATGGCTTGCGCACCAGCCTTTTGCACTCGGTTGATAGGTCCGACCAGTTTGTCCTGGTACGCGTGCATCCAGACATTCGAGGCGTAGTCAACTAGCGGTACCACTGTGGATATGAACAACTGTCTCGCTGTCGCAGTTGACAAACCTCTCAAACGTTTCAGTTCCATCGCAGCCTCGAGTCCCTTGGTCGATGCTCGGGCAATGTGTTGCTTGAATTTGAGGCGGGAATCCATGATCACACCTAGTATCTTGACATGGTCCTTAGGTACAACTTCTTTTCCCTTGATCACGATTGGGGTCGGATCTACTAGTCGGGCGTTGCGGGTGAAGTGTATGATGGCCGTCTTCTCTGCTTCGAACGTCGCCCCGCTTCGTTTTTCCCATTCCAAGGCCTCCTCTACAATAGCCTTAATCTTGTCTCGATTGCTGTGTGCTGTTGGGCCAGTAACCCAAGCCGTAAAGTCGTCTATGAAGGCTATCGCTCCACCATTGGCGTCAATGCGTCTCTGTACTAGATCCGCGTTGAAGAAGTTGTAACTGCCCGCCGACAGTGGAGATCCTTGTGGGAGTCCTGCTTGGTCAAGTGTGCGGGTATCAGACTGATGCCCGTTCACCAGAATCGTGGCCGTTCGATTGGAGCAGAATGCTTCAATCCATCGTATTAGCTTCTCGGGTATTCCTCTGGCTCTCATCCTCTGCAGCAATCGTTCTTTGCACACTCCGTTATAGGCCCCTTTCACGTCGAAACTTATTAGGCTGACCACTCGTCTTCCCCTCCATGCATTGTATATCTGCTCTTGCAAGAGTAACAATGCCTGTTCCGCCGATCGTTGCTTGCGGGCTCCAAAGTGGTTGGTAGGTAGCAGGCCAAACGTTTCGACCGCGTACGAGATCCTTTCTGCGATCACTGCCTCCAGAATCTTCCCTAACGTGCTCAGCAGCGAGATTGGTCTCCATGTCTTCGCCACTGCATAGTTCTCTTTCCCCGGCTTTTTCAATGGTATGATCTTGGCGTGTCTCCATTGATCTGGCAGAACTCCTTCGTCTAGTGATGCTTGAAAAAGACTCAGAACCCTGTTCCTGACAGACGGCCAGATCTCCTTCCACACTGCCACCGGCAACCCATCTTCCCCGGGCGCTTTCCACGACTTTGCTCTACACAACTGCCTCTCAACCTCTTCCATTGTGATTTCCGGCATGGGTACCGGTCCCCGCTGTGACTCTTCTGCTTCGTCCTGAATTTCATCTGGCAAGGGTGGGAAGAAGGTCGAGAGAAGCTCCTCGGCCTGTTCCTCGACGGTGGTTGTTGTCATGTTGTCAGCCCGTACGAGTTGCGGTACCTTACCGAAGGCCGACTCATTCCCCGACTTGAGATACTTGGCCGCCTTCCAGATATTGTCGTTATCGGCCAGAAATTCGTCCCAATGGGACTTTTTCTGCTGCCTGATGGCATCGTGATATTGTTTTGCCGCTGCCTTGGCTGTAGCTTCAAGTTGTGTCGCAATGCAGCCGGCTCGCCTCGCTGACCTCGCCTTGTTACGCCAGTGCGTATACACCTGGCGCAATTGAGTGAGATCCGATGTCCACCATCGCTTTGCATATGGAGACGGCTTCGCTCTCGGAGTGAGCGCATGAACAACTTCCAGCACGACGCTCATTAATCTGTCGGTACTTTGTTGCACCGTCCCTTCCACTGGCAACTTCTCCAGTTTCTCCGTGATCCTTTCGTTTATCTAAGCAC